TGTGAAGCATGTAAATGTTATACATATGCAAACATTAAAATTAAACCAATAAGAAAGAAAATCCTAAACTTGAAAGTAGAAAGAAACAAAGTAAACTAATTATATTTCAAATAAATATGGTAACCACACTGAAGGCAATAGAAAGAAAGAAAGGAAGAGAGAAAGGGAAGGAGGGAGAGAAGGAGGGAAGGAGAAGAAAAGGAAGGAAAGAAAAACAAATGTAATTCATGAACACGGTATTTGACCATATAGCCATATTTTTGGGGGCCAAAATTGGGCATGAGGATTGAGGGAAGAAAAATTGCAAACAAATTCTAAATTCTTTTTAGTAAAAAAATTATGGTCAAAACAATCCTCAAATTTTAGTGTTGATGAAAGTCAGGGTCCTCACTATGGAAGAAGGGACATTCAAATAAAGCATGGGAGAAAACGAGAAAGAACTCATGAGCATAAATTTCAATTGGAATTATCAGTGTGAACTGATAACTTCTAAATTATGTCTACCCATGCAATGTACATGTACAAACATGCAGGTATATATCTCTATCTCTATACTAGTATATGTTAGTGTGTGTGCATTTGTATGTATAGTAAATGTATTTTTGTGTATATATATGTATACACACACACAACTATTTTTTACCTCTATCAGTTGATAAGACCAAGAATTAAAGAAAGCTCAATAGTGCCCTGGCTGGGTGGCTCAGTTAATTGGAGGGTCATCTCACACACCAAAAGGTGGGGGTTTAATTCCCAGTCAGGGTACATAATTAGTTTGAAGGTTCAGTCCCAGATCAGAACACGTATGTGAGACAATTGATCAATGTTTCTCTCTCTCTCTCTCTCTCTCTCTCTCTCTCTCTCTCTCTCTCTCTCTTCTCTCTTCTCTCTCTCAAATCAATAAACATATGCTTGGGTGAGGATAAAAAAAGAAAAAAGAAAACCCAGTAGCAATGATATTACCTAAAACCCAAATCTTGGTCTCTAAAACCATTATCCACTAAAAGAAACCAGTGTTATTTGAAGAAATGGCTGACTAGGCAAAATATCAGCCTTGAAGTAAGAAAGCACTTTAAATAAATTATGGGTCATTTCCCAAGATCCAAGGTACTAGATGAAAAGAGTTTCAACCAGACACATCTGTGATAATTTTAGTACCATCGTAAGTGCAATTATGAACTATAAACCATTAAAATATTAAATTTATGAGTCCATACTGATAATAGGTAAATAAATAAATAGATGAATGAATGAAAATGGAAGGTTCTTGCTTATATCGAATGCTGATAGCCAACTTGTAAATGTGGAGGGAGTGTAGGGGTTGGAAAATAATTATTTTGCAACCACCATAGTAAAATTATATCAAGCAAGACTCATCAATACTGTTAAATCTAGGGAAAGATTTAATAAAGAGAAGAATATTTGCATGGTCTTAAATTATCAGATTTGTTATTAGTTATGAGGATAAAAAGTAGTAACTACATGGTGAAGAATTGAATACCAACTTGACAGCATAATCAAAATCAATAAAGGTAGATGGTCATTCTGTGGCTCCATGTGATAGATACCTTGAGGAGAACACACTTGAATGTAACCATAAATAAAAACAAAAAAAATATGACATTCTCCTAACCAAAAAAGGAAAAACACTGTGTCCTTTAAAAAACCCACAAAAGACAAAGGCCATGGAAATGTTTCAGATTAAAGAAGGTGTCTTAATGCTACTATAGCAAACATATCATAAACTGAATATTCAAACAAGAAATATTTATTCCTCACAGTTCTGATAAGAAGTCTGAGTTCAAGGAGACAGCAGACTTGGTATCTGGTGAGGGTCATCTTTTTGCTTCATAGATGGCTGTCTTCTTGTATTTTCACATAACAGAGCCCAGAAAAGTAAGTTCTCTTAGGAATTTTATAAGGGTACTGATTCCATTCATGAGGCTCTACTTTCATGACCTCATCTAATCCTAATTACCTTCTAAATTAACCAATGAATTTATATGCATATATGCATAGCCCATGGACAGATAATAATGTGGGGAAGACCTGGGGAGAGGGCAGAAGTAGGGTTCTAGGGATCAATGGGTGGGGGGAACAGGGGATGACTAATGTTTTCAACAATAAAGATAAATTTAAAAAATATATCAATTTTAAATTTACTGGTATCGCTGACAGCATTGAGGTTACACAAGAGAATATTTCTATACTTGAAGTATTTAGGGGTAAAAATTTATGATGTATGCAACCTACCTTCAAGTCATTCAGAAAATAATTATATATGCACATAAAACAAATGATGAAGCCAATGAAATAAAATGTTAACAGTAGATGACTCTGGGTTGAAGGTGTATATGGGTATTCTTTGTGTAAGTGTTTCATTATTGCATCTTTTATATAAGTTTAAAGTTATTTTCATTGGGACAGAACTCTGATCAGTAACCAAAATTACCACTAGTGAGGGACAGGTGAACACCGTGCCTCCAGAGGTGACTCCCTGAAGATGCATAACCTATGCAGTGCCCTAGTCCAGCCCATGGAAGCTGGATCCAATCACAAGGAAATAGTGACACTCCAGGTGAGAAATGTCCTCTATTTACAAAGGAGGGTTATTTTTTGTGTAGCACTTTACAAAGGGAACATCAACAGTGGCATGGAGGAATGGGAGATACTTGATCGAGAGAAGACCAGCTTTGTAGCTACTACTTTGACAGCCCATTGGAGAGCTAATGAGGAACAGAATTAGACTATGATGCAGGTATGGGAATTAGACTTCAGATCTGACAATAGTTTCAAAAGTAGGAATGACCCAGCTTGAACACTGGTTCAATTAAGTGGCAAAGGATAGGGAGAAAGTAAAATAAGCACGGACGATTATTAGTTAGGCTTAAACTCACTTCTCTCTGCTCTGCCATGTGTCGATTCAATGAGAAGACAGCATCTGTGGACCAGGAAGATGGTCTTAACCAGACGCCAAATCTGCAGGCACATGGATAGATAGACGGTGAGGCTACGTATTGATATAGGGAATCTTGAAGATGATGTAGAGTGAAATAAAAAAAGCTTTTGTGCTTATGATCTGGGGGGAAATATTGATCAGAATAAACATGCTCTTTATTTCAACAATGATTTAGAGGCACTAAGTGCTCACTACATCCCAAGCATTGTGTCAAACTATGTCATTAAAAAGGGTCAAAATGGGACTTTTTACTGATGAGAAAAACTAGGCTCAGAGATATTATAAAAACTTGCCCAGTATCACACAACTAATAAATGGAGGAGGTATGATTTTAACCTAAAATCATGCTTTTCCACCATGTCTTATTACATCCCAAAGAAAAATATTATTTAACATTTTATATTTTTAAATTACAATATTTTATATTCCAGGTATATAACATATTGATGAGACATTTATATACTTTATGAAGTGATCACTTCGATATGTCCAGTATGATTTCTAAATAAAAGCACTCCTTTCCCCTTGCCTGCCTGCCTTTCTTTCTTTCTTTCTCTTTCTTTCTTTCTTTCTTTCTTTCTTTCTTTCTTTCTTTCTTTCTTTCTTTCTTTCTTTCTTTTTTTCTTTTTCTTTTTTTTTTAGAAGAGAGGAAGGGAGAGGGATAGAGAGCTAGAAACATTGATGAGAAAAAAACATCGACCAGCTGCCTCCTGCACACCCCCACACCCCATACCAGGGATGTGCCCACAACCAAGGTACATGCCCTTGACCAGAATCAAACCTGGGACCTCTCAGTCCACAGGCTGACACTCTATCCACTGAGCCAAACCAGTTTTGGCTCTCCTTGCCTTGCAATAAAGCACCAGGGATGATATTGGATTTCCATGGTCTAGATCAGGGTTGGGAAATGCCTGGCCCAAGAGCCATAAAAGGCCTGAAAAATCATTTAGTGTGGCCCTGCCAAGGCAACCATAGGTGGGACTCAAAATTCAATAAATCTAGGAGCTTTTTCATAGCAACATAAATTTATATTAAGTGAATTATATTAAATGAATGATGTTATAAATATCCAAATGACCCTTGGCAGGAAAAAGTTTCCCCCACTCTTGGTCTAGAATAGATGATAAAATTAAAACTATGATCTAAGCATGATTTTAACTGGGTCTGTTGGGTTTACAAATTATGGTCCACTAACTGTTTATAGTCTCTAGGTAAAATGACCTAACTTTCCCCAGAAGGTGGTAATTGTACAACAGAGAGATCCCTGGAGCCAGAAGGTGGGTTCCATCCCTGACTCTGCAGTTTACTGGCTAGAAAATGGCACCTTCCATGGATGTTGCAGGGGTTAGATGAGATAATATATGCATAAGCACATACAGACAGAGTAGGTATGACTATGTAACCGGATCTATGAGAACAAAGACCTCAGTGGGATGCAGTGATTCCCACTGTCTTCTCCAACACTGTCTGCAGAATGTTCCTTTCACAGCGAGGAGTTAATCAACTGCATTTGCAGCCAGAATTCTAAAATACTACAACAAATAAAGGGGCAGCAGCTGGGCAGTGATTTTCTCCAAGGCCTACAGTCCGGACCCTGGTGTGGTTAGTGTGTTTCAGGGACAGAGGTCTCTTCTTGGTTGTGTCACCTAGCACCATGTGACCTTATCATCACCTTCCCCTCCTTGACCTCTGTCTCATCATCTCGAAATGAAGGCAGATGCCATACTCCCTGAATTAATGTTATTTGCAGTCTTGTTATCAGATCACTTCTAATTAAATCAGCTGGGCAGCTTGGTAGGACTCAGATCTCACTCAGTTCCCAAATTAGAAGCATGGGCAAAGGATCTAGGAATCTGACTTTTAACCACTTCCCACCAAATAATTCTAATGCACACAAATGTGAGAATCACTGACCTAAGTTCCTTTTCAGGTAAAGAATTCCAAGTATGGGGGTGGGGAGGGGGCAATGGAAAGATATGTACACATATAATACCTTAATAAAAATAATAAAAAAAAGAATTCCAAGTAGGCCAACGCTTTGTAAACTTTTATGCATCCCTCTGAGATCTTGTTAAATTGTTAAAGTGAAGTAGGGTATGATCTGTATTACCACTGAGCTCTCAGGTGATGCTTCTGGATCCTGGAACACATACTAAGTAGCGAGGCTTTATGTGACGTGACACAGTCATATAGGTTGATTTACATTTTGAGATGAAACTAATATAGGAAATGACTCAAGGATGAGAGAAGTGCATATGCATGATTTGCTTGAGTGAAGAGTTCAGTTGTTTGACCAGCTTTGGGTGATGTAGGTCCTTATCCTAGAGAAGACACACATTTGAAGACAGCCCACTTGGTTAAGTCCCCCACTCTGTCATTTCCTAGACATGTGATCTGCAGAAAGTGATTTACACTTTCAGAGCCTTCGATTCTGAATCTGCAATGGCAATACAATACCCACTTTGTAGAGCTGCTGCAAGCATTAACTGTGATAACATATATACAATTTTCAGCCTTGTGCAACAATATCAGACCCTCTAGATTTTCTGAGGACCCTCCCTAAGCCTTTACTTAATTCCCTGCAGGAGACGGCTCAATAGGACTTGCTCCTCTTCCACAGACACCACCACCTGGAGAGCAGCCGTCTCTTCACCATGAGAAAACACTTGGACTTCCTTGGGCTGCTGAGTGATTTATCACACAGCTGCTCCCCTGGACGTGGAAGGCTGATGGCAGCCCTGCCAGAGACAGATGGGAGAGCTGCAGTCCAGTTGCTTGTCAGCGATGTTCAGAGGACACATTTATAAGGCTTTTCACACTTTCCTGGCACCTTCTGCCATCAGCCAAACACCGACCAGAGGCAGCCCGCTGCACACCACATGCAGTCAGGGAACACTGACTGCACACGTGCCAGCCGGAGCCCCCAGCAGGGCTTCGTCTTTCTCTCCTGCCTCCTTTCATTACTTGTCTCTGTGTAGTTGTGGTCAACATGCCACCCAGCTTTTATGCTAAGTCCTTTTAATTTTTTTTGACAAGCACTACTGCCCTTTCTCTGGAATAACTCATTAAACATGAAATGAATTGCAGTAATGTGGAGTTAATGTGAAGAGTTTTCAACTCTCTTTATAGTCATGTAGATGAGTGTTATCAACAAATATTTCTTCAGCAATTGCAGCATCCCAGGTGCCTGAGGAAACCAATAACCAAATCATTTGTTAAGCTTCTTGCTCAAGCTATGGGAAGCAAATCCTGAAAATTATTTTTTCTCAAGTTTTATTGTATATTGGAATCACCTGGAGAGACACACAGGCATGCTAATGCCTAAATCCTAATCCCAGAGAATGTGATTTAAAGGATATGGATGCAGCTTTGGGCAGTGGGAATGCAACCAAGATTGGAAATTAATAAAATCTACCCAGAATTTTTCCATATTGTCTCAATTTTTAATCAACACCAGTTTTCAAGAATATCCTTTATAAAACTTTTTGACCTACATAATCTATGTTAAGCCTCAAAACAACCCCATGAAGTCATTCTAAATTTGTTATTATTTTATTTGTATATTTGTACATTATCCTCAACTTAGGTATTTTATTTTATTTTATTTTTTTAAATATATTTTATTGATTTTTTACAGAGAGGAAGAGTGAGGGAGAGTTAGAAACATCAATAAGAAAGAATCATCGATCAGCTGCCTCTTGCACAGCCCCTACTGGGAATGTGCCTGTAACCAAGGTACATGCCCCTGACTGGACTCGAACCCGGGACCTTTCAGTTCGCAGTCCGACGCTCTATCCACTGAGCCAAACCAGTTTCGGTATCAACTTGGGTATTTTAAAAGATGGAGCCAGGAGAGGACAAGTTATATCCTTAGATAGGCAGCTGGTAAGGGCAAGGATAATCCTTGAACCCATGGATCCTGGCTCCCACTATTCTTATTTTTATAATATACTTTTATTGATTTCAGAGAGGAATGGAGAGGGAGAGAGAGACAGGAACACCAATGATGAGAGAGAATCATTGATTGGCTGCCTCTTGCATGCCCCATACTGGGCATGGAACCTGTAACCCAGTTATGTGCCCTTGACCAGAATTGAACTTGGGACCCTTCAGTCTGCAGGCCGATGCTCTATTCACTGAGCCAAACAAGCTAGGGCCCACTATTCTTTTAATTACTTTGTAATGCCCTTAATTCAGAGTTTGTCATTGACACCATTTACTGGATCATAACACATCTTTACTTTGAATTGCATAAACATTTAAAACAAAAACTCTCTGATTTCCTTATTGGCATATTTAAGTAATATTAATAAGGGAAGAAGGGCAGTGCTAATGAGAATATAGGGCCCTTTCTGGACTGATGGCCAATACATGCACTTGGCATATATGTAATGTGTTAAGTGCCAAGAGACATTTGACACATGCTGCTACTTATGGGGGAAATCAATGAATGCCAGCCAAAGGCTAGACACACAAAGCTCATCTCCAAGTACCATAAATCATCTCAAAAATAGACCATAGCATTCTTCCTTCTGTGATGAAAGACATTCTGAGTTCTTTGGAAGGTCGCACAGATCCTTATTTGAAGACAGAATCATCTGTTGATTCCCATAAATACAAAGATTAGTTTGAAGGGTGGTTGTTCAATCAAGCCAGTAGGATAATACATTGATTTGGAGTCTCCATACCCAAGTTATTTTTCATTTTACAGGAAACAATGCAAATATTAAAAACAAAACAAACAAAAATACACACTATAACTTTTTGGAGACATGAAATTACCATTTACCCACAACTCCTTGAGTGTTTCATTAAGATTGCCAGGAAGGAATGGAGCAAGATTGGCTGATAAAACTAATTCTCAGCATTCTCTCTCTCTCTCTCTCTCTCTCTCTCTCTCTCTCTCTCTCTCTCTCTCTCTCTCTCTCTCTCTCTACCTTATCAGGGAGCCTGAAGTGTAGGTGTCACGCTTGTTTCTCAGGCCAGTACCACAGCTAATGGTAAGCTTATGGTCAAAGAATGCCTAGTGATGCATGTATCAGCAACTTGATCAGCTTAGGACTGCTCATGGTGTTAGTCCAGTTAGGCTTTAACAGACATTTTTGTTGCAGAAAGACACCATCCAATTAAACTACTGGTCATTTTGAAAACAGCTGTTTGAATTAATTTCAATATACAGTTTGCAAGTTTTCTCTTATTCTATTCAGTTTATACAGGTGAGGCTATAGCCATAAATGAACCTATGCTGTAAATGAAGAAGAGATTGTGCACATTAAGTTTACAAATAGGAGTGTTAGAGTTACTAAAATCACTCTAAAAGCCCAAGAGTTTTTGAACCTGAAAAAAAAAAAAAAGACCATAAAAGGTACCTCTTAGCCAAACCTACCAAAACTAACCATTAAGTGAATCCTTAAGTGCAATTGAAAGCTCATTCTTGTCACAGTTTCTCACATTCGGAAGCCCTGGAAACAGGTCTCCAGATTCAGACCTTGCAAAGCCCTTTCGAGATGATGACCCTTCGGCAGAACCTCCTACATAACTGTGGGGGCGAGGGCAAAATGTGGCTCTTTTGTTAACCTGCTAACCGAGCGGGACATATAAATACATCAAACGTAAACAATATTGGGAACGGGCAGGACATATGAATACGTCCTGGAAATATATGTTGCATCCTGAGAGGGACGGTATATATTTTTTGTAATCTTTATAATTGTTTGTAAAATTTATAATTTTTTAATTCGATGTTTCCATTTTTTTGTTGGTATTTTTTTCTATTTTTTTGTAATTTTGTATTTTCCTTTGTGCTTTATATATAAATAAATGAAAATATATATATATATATCATTTATTTTAATTAAGTATAAATAAAATAATAATAATATGAAATTATGTCCTCCGGGTGTGATGTACTGACTCGTCCTAGTGAAAGAGTACGCGCCCATTACAGGTTGAGTAATTAAAAAGGGAACTCCCCGGTTAACAGGTTTTAAACAATCATTAAGAATTTAAAAATGATGACAGCAGAGCATTAAAACATAAGGTCCTGTGTCAGGAAGCAGTCCCTACTCCTCAGGGCAGCAAGACCCCAACTGTGCTCTCCCAGCTGCCCTTTTACTGAGTCTTTGGGAGTACATGGCACCTCACTATGTGTTGCCAATTGTTATGTAGGCAGATGGCTCCGGCTGTCCATAGGACATCTGCAGGGCAGCAGCCAAAGGAACATATGATGGAAAGTGAATGTAGCATGTCTGTCAGGAGTAACAGTGGAAGGCAGAGGTTTTGTACAGCTGTTACAGAACTCAGACAAAGGACAGTTGGCTACTGTAGACCCTCCTGAATGCCAACAGCATCCAGGGGAGAGAGAGCCCTGGATGTTCTCACCTCTAAATGAGTTTATGTGGCAGCATATTTTGAGATATTATTCCAATCTACCTACCTACCTACCTACTTACCTACCTACCTACTTATATACTTGCATAGATCTATACTCAACTTTTTAATATTTCTAGCTTTCCCCACCAAACCCAAACTAACAGTTGTTTCTGTATTCATTGTCAGGGGATAGAGCTGCCAGAACAAAAAGATCCTAATAGTTATCTTGGATTTAGATACACAGCCTAAGTTCCACAGAGAGGAGTGGATTCAAAGCACCGAAATTGTCTGGTCAGAACCAAAAAGGTGGGACTCCCCCAGTTGGGAATCAATTCTCCTGGTTTCAGAAGTGAGAGTGAGGGAGGGAGAGTAAGAAGGCCAGTGTATCCCTAACCAAGAGGACATATTCCCCACCTCCCAGGAATGGCTCCATGGACAACAGGCTGATAGAATGAAAGGCAGGTTTGGTCCCAAGTGGGGGCTAAGGTCACTTGAAAGCTCCTGTACTTCATGGGAAGCACAGAATTGTCAGCAGAAAGCTTGCTAGAAAAGATGGGGATATCTCATTAGCAACTTAAGCAGCCTGATGATGGAAGGTCAATGACCACGTGGTGTGAAATGTGACCCTCCATACCCATTCTAACATGCATTGTTTTGCATAGGATTTCAGAAATCACTGGGATGGGAGGAAAATAAGAAAATGACTGAAGTTAGGTTTCCCAGTCACTTGGTGGGAGGGAGATTGAGAGCAGAAATTAAATAATAAAAAGGAGTGAGTTTTCTCATATACCCATGTTTTTAGGCTGCAGTTCAATCTAATTACTCTGTGATCCTACTATTTCCCAAAGCTCAATTGGTTCCCATTGCTTTGACACTGCTCTCCCTGATGGTTTTTACTCTTGAATTTGGTTTTCAATTTAGACTTTCCCAGAAGAAAGAACATGTTTGGACTGCCATGAATATTGTATTTCTCTTGGCAACAAAAACTCTCAGTATAAATGAACAAAATTGACATTGTTCTGATTTATAATTTTGTCAGTCTCTTGTGAGTTTGGTTAACATAGCTCAATTCCCTGGGACCCAACCACATGGATATGCTGTACTGACTTGATGTCATTTATGAATTTGCAAAAGAGAGGGCCATGACTCTACTAAGTTACAAATGCCCTGTGAACTTCCATGACTGAAAAGGTCCTGACCTCTTTCTATTGGTATTTCCTGTTGAGAAATAATAGCATAAAATTATAAAGGAATTTATTTTAAAGCAATGTTAGCATAATGTAGTAGTTACAAGTGCAGCCTCTGGAATCAGATTGCCCAGGCTTATCAAAGTTTGGCTTTGCCACTTGTACAAATTATGATTTAGCAGGTTCAAAGAAATCTAATAGGGACTGTTGTAAGAAATAAAGGCATTGATACATGTAAAACATTTTGATCAACACTTAGCATCTGTTAAGTGCTATATTAATCACTGTTTCTAGCTTTATTGTGGTTGTTATTTTAGTTGTTCCTTTTCATCGTATGTTCCAATGCATGGGTATCATTTCATATTACACATAATTTACATTCTTCCTTTTGATCTAACACTGTACCATACATACTTTATGTATTTCTATGGAGTTGTTAATTACTTTTAATAGTATAATTGAATTCACAAAACAGTTGAGTATTTATCTTCAAATGACTACACTATGTATCAGGGATATCAAAAGAATGATAATTTAGAAAATTTGGTAAAGGTGATAAGCAGGTAACATGACAAGAAAGAAATGTAAAAAGCCAAAAGAGAGACTTATCCTAACAAAAAGCTAGGGAACACAAATTGAAGTGATTATTACTATTTTTACCTGGCAGATTGGCAACAATAAGATGTTGGCAATATCCACTTTCGGGCAATAGGTACTCCCCTCTCCTGCTGGCCAAGGGTAAGCATGGTCAGCCATTTAACTATTTATATTTAAAGTTTGCAGCCTTTCTACACCCAACAATTTCACTTTTCTATATCTGCCCTCAAAAAAATACTTGCTGTGTGCTTCAGGAGATAGAAACAAGAATGTTGACTGCACCATTTATCACCGTGAAAATTGAAGATCACGTCACTGCTCAACAATACGCAGAATGGTTAAATAAACTGTGACATACTCACTTAAAAAGAATGTGTTCTATCTATCAATACTGAACGGAAAACTTCCAAGCTTGTTGCTAAGTAAATAAGTAAGCAAACACGTTGTTAATAAGTTGCAGAGAAGAAAGTAGAATGAGAGAGCATTTTTAAAACACGCACCCTAAATAAAATATATAGCTCTAAAATGTGTATGTGTAAGAATAGTATATGTGTGTATGTACGTGTGTGTGTGTGTGTGTGTGTGTGTGTGTGTGTGTGTGTGAATATATTGAAAGATGTCTGGGAGAGTCCATACTAAACTGTTAACAGTGGCCACCTTTAGGCAGAAAACGAAGAGTGGTCAAGGGGGACTTGAGCTTTTTCTGTATTTTTAAATGTTTTTAAGTGTTCTTTATATAAGTAAGGATGAACTTTTAAAAATTAAAAGATGAATAAAACAAGGTTCTTGAATCCCACCGTTAGTATTCTATTGAGTAGTTGTATAATTATTTATTTAGCCATTGACCTATGTTTGGCAGTTCAGGTTATTTCCATTCTTTTACATTATAGATCTTTATACTCTGCAGCTTCTTTTTCTTCTGTTGATTTATTTCTCTGGGATAAATTCCAAGAGTGGGATTACTGGATAAAATAGTATAAACATCTTTCTGGCTTGTGATATATTTTTCCACATCGCTTTCCAAAAATGCAGCGCTTCTCTTTCCCCATCATTACTAGAGAAAAATGAGCGAGCTCTTTCTTCTACCACCTGGCACCCATCTACTCCTCTCTTGCCATCTCCTCATTCTCAGGAATGGACACTTTTTGCTTCAGTTTTCAACCTGTTTTGGAATTGGCATTTCATCGAGGACTGTCAGCTCATAATCTTTCTCCTATACCTGCTTTTGTATAATCCTGAAAGACAGATATGCTTAACATTCTCATTTTACAGATGAGAACACTGAGGCTCACAGAGGCTGAGTAACTTGCCTAGTTAACAAGTGGTAGATCCATACTTTTAAAGTCATGTCGCTGTCCTCTCTCTGTATCTGGATGTGATTCTCTACCAGTTTGATGTGAATAGAGTTGGTGTGAATCCAGACACCTTTTGCTTCCACTTAGGGTGCACTCTGTCCTGGCTTTCCTGCTCTTGGTACCAGCCCATGTTTGTAGCCGCTACCTTTCTGCCTGTGTCCCTCTTGTTGGCTTCATTCTCAGATTTTCAATTTGAATTTCACATCCTTAAGTTTCTATCTGTTTCATCAACTTTAACTGAAGTAGATGAAAGTTAGACCCATGTCTCTCATCCTTGGGGAACTTAAAACAAAGGGAACCAAACAAGCTGAAGCCTGGACTGTCCATTCCTGAAAATCC